TTTGGGATTAGGATTATATTTTAATATATTACCTGATTTTTGATTAAACAAACTTTGCACCTGATTTTTAAAAAGTGAACTTTAAACCCCTGATTTTTTATAATTTCCCTATAAAGATTATCTTAACGTTAAGCTCGTTTAAAGTGATCTAATAAAGAATTAAAGTTATGGACTTTTAGTATCTAAATGAAACGTGGGCCTAAATATGTATAGAATTCAGATCCATTAGATTTGTATTTTCATGATGGACTGAAATACATATGGAAACTATAAATATGATTATGATCTCCAATTCATGTGTGATTCTTATTATTTGTGTTATCTCATCAATACAAGAATATAAGAGAAATATATTGAAGAGGAAGATTAAAAACCCACAATCAAGAACATGAAATCAACAATCAAGAATAAAGAATTGAAAAAATAAAGATTATGGAGCAAAAGCCAAAGTCAAGAATAAGAACTCAAAAATCAAAAGAGCCAATAATCAAGATTCAAGATCCACAATCAAGATCTGGTATAAAAGAATTATTCTCAACGAATTAAGGAATATTTAGCATTTAATAATTCTCTTGATGATTAGACATGGAGGATCTTAACAATAAAGTAATTAAGTTTTCGGGTTCTTGAGATTTAGAGTTGCATAAAATTCTAACAATTGCTATCAGAGCGAACTCCATATTAAACAATTGAGATTAAATGAAGAATTTTAGGGTTGAAATTCACACTTTGATTTTCTAAAATTTGGGAATTGAATTTCAAACCCAAAATTTCAAAATATTGGATTTTTGGAAATTTTTCGATCTTATAGCATAGCCACAACGCTGTGTTATAGATTGCCCAGCTTGCACCGGGGTGCAGCAGCTTTGCAGGGCTGCAGCTGGGAATCTAGCGCTGCAAGGGCGTTGCAGCGCCTAGTTCCGGGTGTTGCGGTGCCTTATCTTTATCCCCTTTTTACATTTTTTTCCTTTATTGTTAAAACAAAAGAAAGTAAAAAAAAAATAAAATAAAATAAAAGGTTAAGGGCAATCAAACTTAAATCTTGGTACCAAAGTTTCTTTCGAATTACTAATTTTCTAAAATATAATAATTGAAACAACATGTTACCAAAGTAACATTTCTTGTTTAAATTAATTTATTTGTAATATTTAAAAGGTTGTCTACGTAATTCATGCGTGTATTGACCAGTCCAAAGGAAGATCAATATTTGTTCAAATTATTTGCACAAGTGTGGTAATAAATATGTGACAATTACAAAGTTTATTTTTATGTGAACATTGAGTCTGTCCAAAGATGGACTTAATGTCGACATTGTTTATTGTTAATATTTGATTACTAGGATCATGAATGGAGAGGTGATTAAATGTTAAAATCTTTTATTTGTGAAAATCATGTGCAAGTGGAGTGTGAGAGACATTTCTATCAATTCTATTAGGTGGAGACCCATTATCCATCTTAGGTTGAGAGAAGTGACGTAGTGATAGAGGATTATCCCGTGGACTAAAGATCTATTGTGGTTTACCAACTAGACATGATATTAGTGATCAGCCTAGTGAGCATGATGATCGATAAAATGAGATATATGTTCTCGAGATGTGAGCAACACGAATGTGGAATCTTTTCATGTAGTCATTTATGCATTTGTTGCATGTGTTGACCATTTATTAATTCATTTGGTATTAATCCATTGTTCTGTGTGAACGTATTTTTTGAAAAGATCTTTATGTTATTCTATGTTATATCTCCACCGCATGTTTATTTAGTCTTGATTGATTACTGTGATTATTTGTTTCTACGTGGGCGTTCTTGACCTTAGCTCTGGCAAGTATATGGAGCAAGTATGTTATGTGTTTCAAATTGGAGACATGATGTAAGGTTTGTGATACCAATTTTATTGGTTACTTTGAATATGCAAGTATAAACTTTGTGTTTTAGTTGTTTGTAGCTTTATTGGGTATCAATGTGGAAATTTGTTGGATTTTGATACCCAATAAATTCGAGTAATAATTTAAAACAAATGTCGGATAGTTTATCGACACCAAAATGATGGGTCGACTCGGAAACAATTAATATACCTTTGGAGGGCCTAGGTTTGAGTTGGATTTATGGGTGATATATGGTAGCCCATTTAACCTCTGGATAGTTGGTCCATGTTGTGGTTAGTTTGGCTTTTTTGTTTTGGCCCATTTGAGGAGTCTTGGCCCATCCATTCTCATTTTCAAACCCTGTGCGCGTGTTCAATAGAGTGAAGAGTTTGAGAGGCAACTGAAATTGAAGAACTTGAGATTCAACCATTGCTTTGTCTTCAACCTTCCTCCCTTTGAGATATTGAAATACCACCACCATAATCTCCTTAGTGGGGTGAGTTTTGAAGCAATTAAAGGTGTTAGAGTTGTTGGTTCGAGCTGGTCAATTAGTGTTCCTTTGGATGATTTTTTTGAGCCCAGATCAAGATTGCTCTTGAATTTTAACAACAGTCACATATTTTGAGAATAAGCTTACAATTAAATAGCTACCTTTTTTCCACTTCAAAGTACGGAAAAAGAAATATATCCAAACACGTTTCGAAACAAAATGTTATTTAAAAGTAATTTTTATATATATCCAAGCTTAGGTAAAGACAGTGATAGCCGTTTTGCATTTTTTTGCAGGACGAAAGCGTGAAGCAAACTGCCCAGCTCATGTACCAAACAGCATTGATGGAAATTGGCTTAATGCTCAATGATCTTAAAAATTTTGCTTCACAAATCTCCAGCTCAGTGAGAACGAGTCTCAATATCAGAACGGAAGCAACTTTTGAGGAGGAAGATGACGTAGAACGGTAGAAGAAGCCGATACTGAAAGGAAGTAGAATCTTCCTCAAGCACTGAAAATGCTCCTAAAGATTACGACGATGATGTTAACTCTGAATTGTAGGTTGATGATCTTAGGGTTCACTTTTTTACATTGCGCAAAATGCTTGAAATGTTGCCTTGCGTACGGCAGCGTCAATTTTAGTCACAGTATAAGCTTATCCACCATCAAGAATTTTGTTTTGTAGAGTTTTGTGTTTGTGAAACATTCTGAACAACGCTAATCTGTGTTTTTCACGTTACTGTAAATTTGTGATTCTCTTGCATTTGGGTCGTACTCTCATTACAAGAATTTCCAAATAATATAGAAATGGAACTTCCAATTTTTAAGAGATTCCAAGGGAAAGAATTATACCTTAATATTCTCGTAGAATTCATCTATGGATGCTGCATCAGATAAAGGACAATAATCATACTTACATTCTTTGAATCTTTCAATAAACTTAGTAACTAATCACCTTTTTTATTTATACTAATAAAAGTTTTGATTCTTTGGGGATAGAAAGGAAAGTAGATTTTGTATATTGACAACGTGAAAGAGGATCCATGTTTGATTTAGGGCTTTGGTTAATAAATTGTTAGTTTAATTGACCAATAATGTGGTTGTTGAACTATAAATGTCAAATAATATTGACACTTGTATCATACAAAAAGTTTGTTAAATGTGTCATGTCAAACGTGTCGACCATTTCCATGTCATTCAAGGTGGAGAATGTGATTCGTCATTTTTTTTGGTGTTTTTTTTTCTTCCTCGAATCTTAGCATAGTAGAAATGGTCATTGACGAGGATTTGATAGCCGTCCGTGTAATTATTTAAAACAGCATTGAAGCATACAATGTTTTGAGTTTCAGTTTTTCTTTGCTCTTTTTTTTAAAAAAAATAAAACATGATTTCAATTGTATTTAGTGAAAAATATGTATACTACACCAACAACCAAAGCTCTTCTCAATAAATTTTGAGTGTTAATATTTTTTATTGTCACATTCAAGTCATAGTTAGATTTACCGAAAGATGTGAAGTCACAATGCCCCTGATTGGTGTAGATTAAAATCAGATTTTTAGTAGATTTTGATAAAAATTAATGAAAATCTGTGGTTGAAAAGTTGTAAATCCTATAAATTGTGTGGTTGAAATTGATTATTGACTTGTGATTTTGGTTAAATTTTTTCTAGACCAAACAGGGGTATATCTTTTTATATGTTTTACCGAGAATGCTTGTTGAAAACATGTATACCTTAAATCTTAATGGCGATTATGTAGTCGGAATAATTTTAAGTAGTAGGTAGAATAAAAAACTCTCTTGTTTATGAGCATGATGCAATTCTGTTGAACGCATATATCAAGAAAGAGAGCCGTGGATCAAAATTAACATGACTTATTTTTCAAGCTTCACAAATATATAACGTTATCCAAACAATAGAGAGATTTGATTCCATAATACATATTTTGAAGCAAAGATCATACAATAACAATCTTGTAATTCAAGTAAAGTAGCTAAAGCTTTAGTTAAGTAGTACCATCCAATCATGATGCACAATTTCATTATGAAGCAAATGCTGTTTCTTCTGGGTCTACTAAATCATTAATAATAAGTATAATACGGGTTCGTTTGGTGCATGTCTAGTTTAACTTTTCTTTTCTCTTTCTAATATTATCTAGTCTTTCATATCAAATATACACTAGTTTGTACGCACAACATTATACGAAAATGTAATCGTATAATGGGCTCCTCTACATGTAAATGTACTCGTAGCATCATCGTATGCGTGGCTATATGATCTTGGACACGTGGTTTTGAAAATCTCGGAGTAAACTGAGTCACTGACGGCCAACATAGGGTCGGTGAACCATATGAGCCACTACAACAGTATTCTGGATTCCCAAACGCTTCACATGCACTCTTGTATGCTTGCCCGTCTTCGGCCCGCAATTCATTCATTTGGGCACAACTGGTTCAAATTAGTTACGCAACTGGTTGAACCGCATGTGCCCGTTCTGTCTTTCGCTTGATCGATCATCGGCAAATTGTACTCGTCAACAAGGCTAACATCGTAGAAATCCTGGGCAACCGAATTCATACATAATCCATTCGTGAATTCGGCTAGTGCGACAGTGCTGCACCGACACTGTTGAATTCCACCTGATTGGAGTCGCAATCACCGATGGCGCAACTTCCTTGGCCGGTATTGGGGTCAAATGAGCAACTGGTTTTGCCTCAGAACTACCTAGACCAGATCGGCGGAGCTTGGAAGGATCGGGTCCCACCCTACAGAAGTTCAAATCGAGTACTATTCAATTTATCACTACCCGCATTTGCTAGTATTTTGAACCACACTTTATAGACACATCGATCAATGTAAATGTAGCCCCTAAACACCCTGAAAAATGAATCCCATAAATTAATACTACAAAAATGGCAAAAAAATGGGGTGTGTATTCAATTGAGGCTTTTAATGACTTTTTGAGATTTAGGACCTGTTTGGTACAGATTTTCATTTTCTACAGTAAATCAATTCTCATTTTCAACCACACATTCTTCAATAAAATAATATTTTCCATCACATCAATATTTTTTTCTTTTTTTTCAACCACACATTTCCCATCATATCACATTCAAAAATCAATTCTTCCCCAAAAATCCCTACCAAACACACTCATTATATAATTATAATCTTAAAACTCGTTATTTTGTCGCAAACTCTAAGAACGTGTATGAAATTTCCATAAATCTATCAAGTAAAATTTGTTTAGTTGAAAGTTGTAACTATGAAAAATATTCTAATTTTTACATTTCGAAAACTTGAAAATTGTATTATTCTCTAATGATAGGAATTATTAAGTAAATATAGTATTTTATAATTTTAGATTTTGATATTTATTATTTTTATTATTAAAATATTTAAAATGATCAAACATCTAAAATAATATTAAAAATAAGAAAAC